AAGTTTTTCACAGTAAGCCTTAATCCTGTCCCTCTCCCCCCAATAGGGTAATTTCGACATGTATTCGACAGCCTATGTCTACCCTGAGGTTCCATTCTAAATATTGGTGAAAGAATTTTTGAAATCGGATGAGTAGTTTTGGAGATTACCTGCTGCATACAATCTAACATACAAACATTACCTCTTTATTATATTAGTATAGATAAACAAATATGTTTTAGACATTAATCATAAAGTGATTTGACTATTTACATAAAATAAATATTTTTTTTTCAAACGAATTCATCGAATCTAATAATTTATGCCTTTTATGATTAAGCTCACCAGTGGCCAAGTGGTCGTACCCTGAACACTTGGAGTTCGGTCGTGGGATCGGACGGTCTGGACACGTGGAGTTTTCCAGGTTTTCTCCACATCTGTAACGCCTAAATAGGGCTTTCCCTTAAAAAGATCTCCCGAAAGGTGTCCCCCTAGGCAGATCGCCCAAGTGTTGCGTTGTCATAACTTAAACAAACAAACTTTTATGATTAATTAATTTGGTAATATTAAGTTTTTCAAAATTTTTGGGGCCATTAAACCCATGTAACGTTTCCCTATATTTACATTTACCGCTCATAAGTACTATAATCAGGGCCATTGAAAGTTTGTCAGTATCCGAGTGAAGAGAAAGCGGGCTCTCTTTTTTGAACAAATGGAATATATAGAATGTTTCTTCATTAATAAAAAGCAGTCTTAAAGATTTTATTTTTTTTAGTAAAAATAACATTAATTTTACAGGAGTAGGTAGGAAGCATTATGCCCTTAAGTTTTTTCTGGCCAGATGCAAAATCCTCACTTCCCCTCATCATAATACAGAGATGCTGTTTAGGTATATTGGACTTCAATCTAACATTTAATTAATTGTGGTACTTAATAAAGATTCACAGAAACACGCAAGATAATGGTGATCAAAGCCAATTATAAACACCATCTTTTCATTTTCGATTATTTCCGCCTTTTGGGCTCTCAGACGGCCTTTCTTTGATGCCCACAGTGGGTTCGACCATGCCAGGCCCACAATGGGACGACCGGGTGGATAAAACAAAACCTATTCTTTGTACACAGATGCTTCATTGCATAATATCAAGCAATAACAATATATTAGAAGTTAAAAACGAATGCATAAGCACTAATGATGCAACGAATATTTGGTTACTATTCGGCCGAATACCTAAAATCAGGAGTAAGAACAGTGACTAATTTATACCTTCGCGGGCCCTAGGCAATATAATATTTACGGATCCCTTTACAAATTTTGTATTACTACTTAAATATTACAATTTTTTTTATTTTTAAATATGAATATCTTACTTACAGTGTATTTTTGGGGTTACAATAAAATTATGCAGCAATAAACATTATATTTTTCTCAACAAACACTGCTTTATTCTGAACTTCAGCGAACAGATCTAATGCGCATATACAAACATTATCTAATTCTCAGTCATGTTGTTAGATGTTGGAGCAGTAGGTAATGTTATTCTTAATTATTAACCCTTGAATATGGCGCTAATAATATAGTAATTCGCAATACTAATAAAACAATGGCACCTTTAGAACCTATTAGGGCCCCGAGCAAGTGCTTTGCCTGCCTTGTGCCAAATTAGGCCCTGAGTAAGAAATAACAAAAATACACTCGACCCCCTATAACATTGTTGATAATTCCGTTTTATATGAATTCCATGTAGGAGTCACTTAGATTTTACAAATACAGTCGACCCCTATAATTACGGTCCCTATAATTACGATTCCTATAAAACTACGAAAAAAGACCGGTATCCGTAAAAAACAGTAAAAATTCCCTATAATTACCTCAAACGTCATTGGGCAGCCGAATTACTTTCCCGCCGTCCGTAGCGCCACGCTACAGAGAGATTTCTATCGTCTGGACAGTATTATATAAATTATTTATAAATTAGATACTGTACATATAATTATATATTAACTTATTGTAACTTTATTATAATTAAATATATAATTTCCGCCGTCTAGCGTGGCGCCACGCTACGGAGATTTTTACGCTAACTACTGTCTGTAGAGTATGTAAGTTAGGTACCGTAAGTCTAATACAGTACTGTAATTTTATATATTTCTTGTGAAAGAAACATTTCTTATTCAACGGCGATTAAAATTATTTATATTAATGATGTCTCCGAAGTTCAAGGAACTATTCGCAGAAAAATAAGTTATTAGAAATCGGCCGCGGTTTGCTGAGCTGTTCCGCGACGAAAACAATGTTGAGCAATGGCGATGTCGAATGGTGACACTCGGTAAGTAATCCTACAATTTTTTATTTATAGCGTAGTTTATACGGATTATTTCCAAAAAATGTATACGTATTTTGGAAATGTTGAGTCGGATTAGTCTAGAATCGATTAATTTTATGGAAGAAAACCTTTCAATCAGCCGTAGTCCGTAAACTTGTCACGTGTCGGGCTGTGATTGGAACGACTCGTAAGAAATCGGATTCCTAAAGAATGGAACGTATCTATATCTTATAGGGGGGGGTCGACTGTACGCCCATGTGTCGGGCGGCTCACGTATTTGTAAAATCTAAGAGACTCGTACAACATGGAATTCATATAAAACGGAATTATCAACAATGTTATAGGGGAGTCGACTGTACAGTAAATTAATCATTTTGATAACTTTTATTAATGCTGAACATACATTTCAAGTTCGAGATAGCGCAATTTTTTGCTTATTTATTCAACATATGGAATTGGCATTATTTCTATGGGAGAGACTTGAGTAAAAACTGAATGAGTAGGCCTACTTGAAGTGGTGTAATCAGTGACCGTTTCTGTACCCAGATTAGGCATACCTCCGCCTTCATGGTTTTGGTTGTCCCAAAACGAGCATCCAGTGTATCCTGCTGCTGACAGGACCTGTTTGTCGTCTCTGTAGCAATAAAATACTTCTGGATTCGTTGGCCACATTCATGGACAACCTGGGGCAAGACGGGATACCCCTTCATAACCCCTCTTTCTCCCACCATCTTGCCCTAACGTGCACTTTTCATACTGACTGCAAACACAGGTCAACTTTATTTCAAAACTAAACAATTACAGTATTAAAGGTTACTTCGAATACCATAATATCTTCATCTGAAAGGTAATGTAAAAGTTCACAACGATACTTACTTTGTAGAAACTTTGTAGTAGGCATAAAATTAGATGAAGTATTACTGAAACATGAAAAACGTTTTACTTCCAAACAGAGAGAGTGATTCGGACGTTCTCTCGTCCCATAATCCCTTTTGATGTTGAAATTTAATTCCTCAAATAACAGATAGATGAAAGCACGTTAACCACGAATAAACAGACGTCCCCGTCTTACCCCATGGCCCCATCTTGCACCACTTTCCCCTACTCGTATATAAAAGAACAAGTCCTGATAGGATAATTAATGCAGAGCCAAAACTACTGGTGCTAGAAACTTAAAAATTTGAGAGTGTGTTCCTTTTGTAAAGTTTAGGCGTGCTAGGAAAGGATTTTACGAAATTCAACCCTAAAAGATTGAAAAGGAGAAAAAATTTCTATGAAA